ACTCTTTCCTAGAAGAAACTGCTGGATCCTGTCTCATTAGGGCTAGAATTAGATGTTAGTTCTGTTCTACGTAGTGAAAAGGAAAGAACATTTAGTATTACCCTTTCCCAGTAAGATTCCAGCCACCAGAGCTTTTTCATACGAAAGGCTTTCATTTTCCTGCCAATTCCTTTTTGCCAAGTAACGGCTAAAATGGAAGGCTGGCCACCAGTCCTTTCTGGAGTTCCACTCTTGCTTGATCCAGTCAACATGCTTCTCAGAGCTGGAAAAAGGTAAAACAAGTTGCAAAAAAGCTTGAACTAGGATGAAAAAATTATTAGGAGGCACTGAATTTCATAATCAACTTGCTACAAATCTCGTAAGCTGCTAGCACAGACACACTGACCTTACACTGCAGACTAAAACACTAATCTAAACAGAAATAACTTTTTTTTAATCCCTGGCAACACTAGCAAGGCAGGAGGTGAACTCTAGCAGTCTTGTTTAGACTTGGCAGTAACAGATCATGGTGTGAAATGAAGCAAGCCTTTGACTTGTGCGCCAGTTTGTCAACAGTAATAAGAAAGTTTCTTCAAGTTTGTCAACAAATTAATAGTATGAAAGGGTTGGTTTGTTTTTAGAAAAGGTCTGTGTTACTCTATATGTACTCCAAGACTAACTTATCCCAAATACTTACTCCAATAACTTATGCAATAAAGACCTTAAACCAAGCATTTCAGAAACAGAAACTACCTACAACAAGGAGACAATCTTCCCATAAAACGATCAAGGTGCCTGGTGTATTTCAAGATACTCCGAAGCCGTGTCTTCAAAAACAAAAATGCAGGCAAAGTTTGAGTATCACACCATCTTTCCTAACTCAACAACACTCCTGGGTTAATCCCACTGCCTTCTGGACCTTAACAGCAGATGCACCTGTGTAGGTGGAGGTGACAATAAAACAGCAAGATGGATCAAGTGTGGAATTAATTTACGGTAAATATATAGGGCTTAAAAAAACCACAACACTCTGTTTGTTGGGTAAAATAAAGTCTAGACATTAGAGGCCTTCTGGGCACAGATTGCTGAGATGGCTCATTCTGAAATCAGAGGCCATGTCTGTCAGCATTGGCGAGGATGTACCAACGCCCAGGCACGCTGGCTCGGCTGAAGAATACACCGCCTGCATTCTGTAACAGCTACCACCATCACACAACACACCAGCCTGTACAGGACCAGTCATGCCCCTGCTGCAGCCCAGCAACTCTCCAACCAGCTTCAAGTCATGCATGTGTAGTAACAGAGCAGAAGACCCAACTACTTGGGGCTTTCCCCCCCAAAAATGGAAAATTAGTGATAGGCAGCAAATGCTACCCAAAAAGCCAAATAATTCTTTATGTGCATAAGCACATAACCTGGGGAAAAAAACAACCAAGAACTTATTTTAGGCAGTAGTACTGGAAATTTGGAATTATTCTCAAGAATAATTTCTGCTTTCCTCCCAGTGAAAGTACACTGAAGCCAGGCACTGCCACAGACGTCTGTGTACTCCAGGCAACAGTTCTGTTCACCACCGCAGGAGACCAAGGCTACAGAGTGTTACGTTGTGAATTATCCAAAGGTGGACACTCAACACATTTGTTTTTAGCACACTGATATTGGAGATACTTACAGTACAATTTGTTTCATCTGTCTTGCCAAACAGCTCCATGCTTTTACATTTTCCTTCCAGCCAGCATAATCCAAGACTCCAAAAATAACTTCTAGCCCCAGTCGACGTTTTTTTCTTTTCTCTGGAAAGAGATTAGGCTGATTAATGAATTACTTAAATCAGGCTCAACTCATTAGTAAGCAACAAGCAAAACATGGTTCTCCGCCCTGCCTCCCCAAATACTGCTACTTTCCCTATTACTGAGGGTTCCCCCCATTGCCTTCTGCCTCTTCCAAGGAATAAAGTTCAGGAATACTTCCTGGCTCTAGACTACAACTCATACCAGAGACACTCTGCCCCTACTCCTACCCTGCTCAAAACCTGCTGGCTCAAGAGGCACGTGTAGGACCGCTCACTGGTCCCACATCGCCTTGCTTACAACAGCCGCTGCTTCCAAAGCTCACTAACCAGTGTTTCCAATTGGCACTGCCATTCAACATGCTCTTCCCACGGGAAGGGAACACAGTGCCTCTGGAACACTTCAAATCCCGAGATGACACAGAAAAATCAAGTGTGATGTGAATACAACAGACATTTCACAGCAGTTAAGTGTTAGCAGAGCTCTTGAAACAACACTTGACCTATCACAGCCAGAAAGTGTGAGAAAAGTTACATTTAACAGTATCAAGTTCCTCATTAGCCACAAAAAGTTAGTAAATGTATCATGCATGAACAGAAGAAGGGAGGTTTCAGCCAGGAGGCAGTTTTTTCTTCTCCCAAAGAAGAGAACAATCATGATCCAAGGACATTTCACCCATCCGGTGACCTGCTGGAACATGCCAGGTCACACGAGGACAGACAGCTTGGAATGGAATTGATAGCGTGGAAGAAGTCTGCAAAGAGGGAGACTTTTCTACAAGCTTGAAGATAACACTCCCTTGAAGAGGAGAAAGATGTTGCTCATCAAAAAACCCAACAATGAACTAAAGCCTAGATCCATCTCAGTTCCTCCAGAAGAGGAACAGATAAATCAGAGACCCCAAAAAGGGAATGGACACCCTGGCATTCAGAGTAGAGTACCTCAAAAAATAAACCAAGTAATTTTGAGATCCTGGCTGTGCCTTACAACAGTTAGCTTTGATCAGATTTTGAAACGAGCAAGGGATTTGTTTACAGAAGTTTGTAAATCTCTGCTCACACATCCAACTTAAGGGTTCCAGTGATTGGAAAGTTGGAGTTTGGGTTGTTTTGGGGTGTTTTTTCCTTAAATAAAACTACATCAAAAAAGCAGAAAGAAGGCTGAAGAATAATTTCAGAATATTATTCTAAAATAACATAATGGAAAAGAGGAAATATATTTAAAGACTTACTTGATTTTTGAAGCATGGTACTAAAATCTATCATTAGTTCATGAGAAGGAACAGTATCATGCAAGACCTGAAAAATAAAATCACAAAACCCAGATTAATTCTCTTAATGGAACAACTTTTCACCTGATCAGGAGAAACACAGCCTTCAGAATTTTGAGTGTTTTAGCTAGGATATTTAAGCAATGGTCCACCTTGGTGCCTTGATACCAAACATGAACACCTAGGTCCATCCTCAAACACCTGTGACACAACAGATGAAACGCCTTTCTGTCTGCCGAAATAACGCCGCATGTGACAAATACCCAAAAAACAGCCCAAATCCATATCCAGTGCCCCCTATTGAGAAGGCAACACCATTTCCTTCCTAGGCCTGCTCTAGCTCCCCTATCTACTGCCCTGTGCACTGGATCATGGTTTTTAGATAGATCAGACCAGTTCTTTGCTTTGTCACTCTCCTGTAAGAGCCTAGTGTATAAAGCCACTGTTAAAAAGCACTGAGGAGATGGAATTCTATACATAAATGCTACAGTTTAAAACCCTAAGCTTTATGAAGCTGTTCTAAAGCCTCTGTCCAAAGGAAAGCACATTAGTGCCATCAAGTGGCAAAACAGACTACAAAAGATCGTTGGCAAGGGGCTACCAACGAGTAAGGGCAAGGAAAGCAGGAATTTAAAAACAACTGTACAAAAGCTTAATACAGCAAGGTCTTGTCTGCCAACAGCCAGCAGAAATTAATTCCTATCGTAGCTTCAATGCGTGGCTCACTGAAAACAAGCACAGAAACTAATTGCTAGACAGGATCAATACGTGAAAGAGCAAGCATCTAGTAATTTCTACAGTATTGTCAAATTCAAAGCGTAACATAAATCAATGCACTACACCTACAAGACTGCTGATACAGGCTTCTGGAACCGTGTAAATACATTCTCTGAGCTTGTTTATTGACTTAAAATTATACAGTGTATCAGTTAAAGGCCAAACAAAGACTTTAACTCAAAGACAGCATCCCACCCACTAACTTTCCCCTAACCCCCTGCTCCCCACAAACAATGCAATAGGGTAAATATTGTAACGGGAGCGCAACGCAACCAAACTGTCAGACCACCGTTGCACAGCAGCGACCACAGACCGTATCTACTGCGCAACATATACCTTAAGTGCAGATATGAGCGATTTCTTTGATTCACCATGTCTCTTCAGGAACTGGTAGAGGTAAACATGAGCATTGGGATTAGCAGGGAACTTTGAGTTGTAGGCATAATCATTTAATACTTGGCGGGCCTCTGCATGGTCTCCATAGAACTCCAACAACTAAGAGAAGGTAAGTCTGTTAATAGACAAACTAATGACAATCACACTCTTACAACTAATTTTGGGCTGCCACATAACTATCCAATCACACGGTCCGTATCTCAGAGCGCAGCATATTAGATAAGACTAATGCTAGAGTATTTTCATTTCACTGGCTACTCTCTCTTCAGAGAAACAGAAATTCACATATAGAAGCTGCTGCAGGAGAAAATTCCTTTAACACTTATTTAATTGTCAAAGAATTACCAGCACTTGCACACGGGAAAGAGGCACTGAAGCAGCTTCAGAGAGAACCTGGCAGCTGCCAGCACCAAGCAAAATCCCGTTAAAATGTGCTCAGAGAAGTCAGAGCTTATCAGTATTTACAAAACATAAATAACTTCAAAGATATTAACTTTATTTCTTAATTAGGAATTCTAAGCAGCTATTTAACAAGACAGAGAGACTGCGTGTTTGCTGTCTTTAACGCTTCCGTGTATCCAGAAAAACACTGCCCTGCCAAAAAGGGTGAAGTTGCTTTCAGGAATTTAAACAAAGCAGCTGTGCTCCAATTTCTGTACTAACACCATGAAAACAATATGCAAGCTGTTGGCCTATTTCTTTTTCTTGGCAATGCACAGATAAAGTCCTTTTTGTAGGACTTTGTGCATGCTCTGCAGTTCTACCAGGAGTAAACTGTGCTCTAAATCAAAGCCAGCCAGGTACACATACAGATGTGTTGCTTTTAAAATACTTTGTCACCCACACACACATAAAAAAAGCTGCAGACAGACGTCTTAATGAAAACTATACAGGGAAACACAAGAGGAAGATAGCTGTAAAACATGCCCTTACATCCACTAAGCATTTCACAAAGACATCCCAGACTCCAGGTATTTTCATTATCTCCTTTAAGTTCACTGCTGCCTTCCGAAAGCAACTGTGCATTTCCTGTTCAACAGACATGTCTTCCAATCCATCCTGACCTACCAAAACATGAAAGAACGCCACAAAGTTAGCTTTGCTAATCAAAAGAGATCTTTAAGTGGTGCATCTAAGAGATGATCTCATTTTGCTAAGCAAGGATTCCAGTCAGAGAGCTTTTAGAAGAGAGGCCTCCATTTCCTCAGTACTGGAACAAGAAATTTTCACTGCTCTTCATTCAAATTTATTATCAACCAATTCCAACTCCTTGGGCATGACAAGACAAGACACTACCAGCTTGAGGTCCATAAACGAAATTCAATACTTAGCTTTCACAGAAACAGGCAGAGGTCCAATGTAGCCGGTAAGGGACAGCCCGCAGGTATATACACACTGGTGGCAACATGTATCTCTAAAGAAACTGAAATTTGAACACAAGCTTTGGAGGCTTTTGCTAGCACTCAAAATTTTAGCAGCAGCCAAGCACTTAAGCACTTATAAAGAAGCCACCACTATAGGTGAATACCTTCTTTTGATAACCATTTTACGTGATGCTGCCTGGACATACAAGTGTGATTTGGGGAGGGAAAGGGGTTTCAGAATAGCATTTCAGGACACTTCAGAAAAGTGCAAGGTCACTGTGTCATTTTGGTACCACCACCATTGCTGATAGGGAGTTATGTACCACCCATAACATCACATTTTGAAGTCCAGTACTTCCTTCCGGTGCCTTCATGCGCAGATAAAGGCAGAGGAGCAGCCCGCATGGAAAAGGTGTCACTGCAAACCGTGCTGTCTGCAAGAGCAAGCAAGTCGAAGTCTACAGCTCAAAACAAAACGACCACTAGGCCTTACCATGCTCTAACAGGATGTTCTTCTGCTTAGCCCAGCTACAGTAGTCCAGCAGCCCCCTGTAAGCCTGAATCAGTTTCATTTCCTTATCCTGAATGACTGTTTGCTCTCCATGCCTCCAGCTTTCTGCCAGGCACAGGTTCTGGTAAGCTTCGTCTATTAGTCCGTTACAGAGGAGATGAAAGACGTGCTCTAAACAAACCTGCAATTCAAAGAGTGCACACCACAGAGTTACACATCGTAAACGGAGAGGATCTCAGCACTACAGCCAAGCCCCACCCAGGCATGCGGGGAAAGAACTGACTCCTTACCGACACGCGTATCAACTACTGTGAGCACAGCAAGGTATTTTAAGTAGAAGAGCGCTTTACTGTTTGGATAGAATATCTGTATCTTTACAAGGAACTTTGGAGACAAATGCAGGAATGGGAGAATATAAGTATCACCAGGGGCAGGGGGATGAGCCAAGAACCTAAGTAATATTTTCTGCCTGAAGATGCTGGAGAAACATTAGGAATCAAAAGCACGTCATATACGAAGATGTACCCCTGGGAAGTGAAAGAGCTGAAGCTCTTGAAATCTGTGGGGCAGAAAGTCACCCAGCAGGTGGTAGGCAGTCAGCGGTACGTATCGAGGCAGCAGAAACCAGTGGGCTCAAAAAAATTGCTTGTCATTAATGAGTGCTGGATGTATTAAAGAAGGTCCAGAAGCAACCTGAGGAAACCCAGGTGGGTGACACGCGCTGATTTCTCATTTGGCTGCCCAGCTGCAGAACACCTGACCGACAGAGCAATGGTGTCACCACTCTATGGTGGCGATGAGGCACTCGATCAAAGTCTGAACCTTGCCAGCTCTAGTAAACTCTTGTACAGAGCTTCTACTGAAGGTCTTAACAAACACAAGAGAATGAGCAAAGTGAGAAACAGTCAAAGAAACCAAAACAACACACATTTGAATGAACCACCACAGGGAAAAACCAACAGCTAGGTGACACAAGGGCCCACAGTAGAAGACCTACTGTTCTATACACAGATTAGCTACTCGAAAAGCGAGTGACAGCAATGGCAAAAATTAAGTACAACTGTTTAGTAAGGAGTTTGGTGGCCAAATCAAAGACTGGAAAATTTGGCAGGTGTCAATGTGTAATTAGATGTTACTGGGGCACACATGAAAGAATTTAACTGTTTCAAATTAGAATATTAATTGAAGAATCTCGGCACTTCTAAGGGCTGACAACACACATCTGTGATAAAACATATAGACCAAATAAGATATGGTTAGGTATGGAATATCCCTCAGATTATCAGCAAATTGTACTAATTGACATACAATCTTTTTGAGGCTGTTGTCAACAATACCCTTGAGAGAGATTCAGAAATTAATACACAAGTGTTCAGGTAAACAAGCACAAGATCATCAGGACTGCATTAAGTCCACTCACCTTCAAATACCTTTTTATTCCTGAAGTTTTCATCAGTTCTATGAAAGAGTTCAACTCTTTGATGCTGCCCTGGGAATGATGGCACAGAATCTCAGTTCCTATTCTCCAAATTATCTATTAATGGGAAGAAAGAGATTAAAAGTAACTTCAGTACAAGAAAAATGGGAACAGTCACCATATATATGGTCTTCTCAAACTTACAGTTACTCAAACACAGGAATAAAATGTACATATGAACTGGAAATAGAAAATGAATAGTATTGCTGCCTACTGCTATAGCCATCTAGATATTAATCAAGCAGTATTTTTAGGATCATTCAGCAGGTGCTTCACAACTGCTCATTACAAATGCAGCACTCCAGCAAAGCTTTTGAAAACCAGATTTGTCAGGAGGTTCCCCCTCCTGTTGGTGAAAACAGGATGTTTCAAAGTTACTGAAAACAGAGGTTTTCCTCTGTTACATTTCCACTGAGATGCAAGGGTGTCATAATTCTTTGAACTCAGCAGTAAAGATGATTTCCAGTTAGATGTAGCTAAACTTAAGAAAGTTTAAGAAACTAGTTAGGTTTATGCCTAACTTTTCAGGTCTTAACCTCTGATACTTTTTTGTTAATTAAAAATAAAGATCAAGCCTATTATTAGTTAATTAAGACACATGCTGGTCTTGCAGTATTACAGATGCTTCTTGCAAGTATTTTTTTCAGCTGTAAAAGAACTCTGATAAGGAGCACTGGCTTACCTCTGATGGACCCATGTAATCTCTAGAAAAGTCTTTCTCTACTGACTCAGTATAGAAGGTCAGAAACTCCGCAGCCCTTTCCCACTGCTTTTGTAGCATGGCATCCTGAATGTAACTTAAACACACTTCCTTGCTCTTCCTGAAGCTTAATTTGTGTTCATGGGAAGACGCTAAACAAACCAACAAAAAACAACAACAAAAAAATCGACCAAGTCCACAACTGTCACAGCCTGAAGATAAAAACATGCCTACCATTTCAGCATCTCTCACGTGATCTTTCCCAGATGATAGAGAGAGCTATCTTACGCTACGTGGGTTTGAGGTTTGAAGTGCATTTGAAGTGAAATGCACCTGCTAGTCTACAGAGAAGCTAGACTATGACAAAAGCTGGAAATATAATAAGAAATGGCATTATCCACAAGCAGCACAGCTGCAGACACTTGAAACAGTAAAGAGACAATGATTACACATTACTGCCCTACCAGAATTAAGAGACCATGGTGCTTTAATAACTTCACAGTAAGTTTTGTGACATTCTGGAGACTGCTCTCTTCCCTTAGTGATCATCCACGTGTGTGACCCCATTGTGCTCAAAATTTGCATACACACAGGCTGTTCCAGCACCAAAGGCTAAGCAATTCCCACTAAGAACACAAACGACACATGCAGGGAATCATTGCCTTTTGAGCACAAGACTGGAAGGAGGCCACTTACTCTTTTCATATGAAAAATCCCTGTAATAGCACAAACCTAAATCCTCATTTCAACACCTCTTTAAAAATCATGGCCATGTGCTAGGCGACGGTCCGATGTGCCCCTACAGTGCTCA